TTTATAAAAGGTCTATAAAAGAAAAGACCTATAAAAATATTTATTTATGGAGTATAAGATAACTGGAGATTTTGAAAGAAAGTTTATTGAAAAATTAAGGTGCATCATGAAGATAGACATATAGACCTGGATTTAAACTATATATCCTAATTCCAGAGATACTTCTTTCCTGTTATATGAAAATATTTTAATCGAAGTGTAATGTACATTGAAAAAGTACGTAGGTGTACAGCTTGGTAAAGTCTCATAAACTGAACATATCCTTGAAATCAGCACTCAAATCACTAATGATTGTATCTAATTAAGCAGCACCCAGATCAGTTTAGTTCAGTTGAATTAAATTCAGTTGTTCCAGTCTAGTCACTCCAAGGTTGTTAGAATACTTTTGCCTGTTTTATATTTTATTTAGTAGTATTTTGTGGCATGCAGTGTTGTTTCTGGTATTCCATACTTAACAGGTATGTGATACTCAACTGTGACATGCAATTATAATTAGTTCATTCTCATGGTTAATGGTGACTGTACTACAATTTGTTTATAGTATGAAATGATTCATAAGTGTCATTCTTAATATTTATTTGAAGATGATTGACCATTAGTGGGATATTTATTTTGACACAGAAATAGACTTATTTTTAGGTATACTCGTATGCATTGTCTCAGCCTTAGCATCAGGCTCTAAACGTGGAAATTATAAATACAAAGGCATTTTTTTATTATTTAATCTACTTCTTCCAATTGGGGAAAAATTATAATTACTGTATCTTTTAGGATTATTTTAATTTTAGGCAGAGAAGTTTATCCAAAGGAAAAAAATTTTTTTTATCAGATCATTGACAGATTAGTGATATAGAATAACCTTGTTTGTTTAGTTACCATTTTTAAGTTTGCTAGACCCATTTTTATCAGCAAATGAATTAGTTTTTAAATCTGTGTTGACAGCTCTGATTAGTTTTTATGGTTGAAAATTTTAAATTGTGGGCATATTTGCTGATTTTAATTTTGCTACTATTCCTATTTTCAGAAACCTAGATTTATTTTTCTTGGAGCCACATCTGATAATCTATGAAGAATTTTATTTTTAGGACATTTTTAAAGTTTTTTTTGGTTAGGAAATTTTATTTAAAAATTTTTTTTCCTTAGGAAATTTAAAAATCAGTAATATTTACTATTAGGTAAGATTACTTCTTAAGCTTTAATTATATGCTTTAATTTTATGTATTTGGATTTAGTAGGTAAGCATTTCCTTTCCTTAAATTGGGGTCTTTAATATTCAGTGTATTGTACTTCCTATGCAGACAACTAATTGGAGAAAATAAGCTTTAACACATGACAAAGGTTTACTGTTTCTATAATGTAAACAGTTCATTAAACTAATAAGAAAATATTGATATTCTGGTAGGTAATTGGGCAAAGGATAAGAAAAGATGCTTTACCAGTAGAGAACTAAGATTAGCGGCAGAAGTTGAAGCAGGAGGATCAGAAGTCCAACCCCCAGCCCTGGCAACTTGGTGACTTAGTAAGACCCTGTCTGAAAAAAAAAAATTTAAAAGGACTAAGGATGTAGTCAGTGTGAAAGTCCAGGGTTCAATACCTAGTATCAAGGGTGGGGGAAAACTAAGATGAGAATCTGTGGCAGAAATTTATTCCTACTAGCACTATTAAATTCAAATCAGTGAACTCTTTCTTCCTGTTAAGTCAGCAAAAGTAAAGAAAAATAGATAATGTTCACTAGTAAAGTTATTGATAAAGTTGGTAGGCTCTTCTTTTACTGTATATTGGAAAAAATAGTTTGGACTTTGGATTTTAAGAGCAGCATGACCTTCACATTCTTTAGTGCAGTTTTAACACACTTTACAGATCCTGTTCTAGATAAACAATCCAAGTAAGCAAAAAAAAAAAAAAACCCAAAAAAACCTTGCGTACAAGTATATTCATTTCAGTGCTGTTTCTAATAGAGAAATGAGATAATGTATGACTTATCTAATAACCTCCCACCTTTACCCCATTTAAACATTAAAAACAGTAGGCATTTGTTATTTCACTTTCTGTAGGTGAGGAATTCAGGAATAGCTTATCTGGGTGATTTTGATTCAAGGTCTGTCATGAGATTACAGTCATAATGTCAAACAGGGCTATAGTCATCTGAAGACTGGGCAGGAAGATCTGCTTCCTGGAGTGCTCACTTCAATAGTTGTAGGCAAAAAGCCTCAGTTCTTTGCCAGATGGACCTCTTCATAGGGCAACTTGACTGTTCTCATGACGTAAGTATTTGTCAACTTCCTGTTGCTGGGAAAAATAGCTGATGTACACAACTTAAAGGAGAAAAGGTTTATTTTGGCTCACATTTTCAGATTTCAGTCCCTGGTCAGCTGACCCTGAGGCATAAACCACAAAATAGAGGAAAACTACCCACCTCAAGACCAGGAAACAGAGAGAGGGAATGAGAGGAAGGCTTAAGAACAAAATGAACCCTGCAGGGGCACAACCCAAGTGACTCTATTCCCTAACTAGGTTCCACCCTCTAGCAGCACATTTTTTGAACTCATCAATAGATTAATCTGCCTATGAGGCCAGCACTTCATTCACTTCCAAAAAGCCCCACCTCTTACACATGAACATTTTTGGGGAAATTGTTTACCCAAACCAAACAACTGCATCCTTGAGTTGGAGTAGAGAAAATGCTTTTTACGGGGCTGGGGATTTAGCTCAGCGGCAAAGCGCCTGCCTGGCAAGCGCAAGGTCGTGAGTTCGGTTCCCGGTACCGGAGAAAAACCAAAAAACCAAAAAAAAAAAAAAAAAGAAAATGCTTTTTACTGCCTAGTTGTAGAAATCTTAGCTTCTCATTTCTACCACATTCAACATTAGCTAAAAGTGAGTCACTAAGTCCAACCTATACTCACTAGAAGAAAAATTAAGTTCCATTCTTAAAAAAAGAAATATTAAAAACATATATATTTTAAAATTAAAAATAATTAATTATATATAAAGGAACAGGGTTTCATTATATAGTTCAGGCTGGCCTGGAACTTACTATGTAGCCCAGGCTGCCCTCTAACTGGCAATCCTTCTGCCTTAGCCACCTAAGTACTGGGATTACAAGCATGTGCCACCACACTTAACTTTTAAAAATATATCTGTCACAAATGTGTAGCAGTTAAGTAAAGCAGAACATACAATAGAAATTAGAGTCATAAGAAAAAGAAAATTAGAAGAGAATATGCAGAATATCTTAATGGTTGACCTAGGATTTTGGAGTAGGGATGAGTTTTTTCCCCTGTAGTTTCCAGACTTCCTTTGTTGCTGTTACATGATTTTTTTTTTCTTCTGGTTTTGATGCTAATGTTTAAATACAGGGCATTATGAATGGTAAACATGTGTTCTGCTACTGAACTGCAGCCCCAACCTTGTGGCTTTTATAAGAGATAAATCCTTCTGTCTCCATAGAAAAATATAATATGACTTTCCTCATCAAGCTTTCTAAGTGTAAGCATATTATGTCCTTTCTCTTTGTGTCATGATACAATCTTTCTTTTCCTCTCTGTATTGTGGTAATATACAGAGATCAGTGAAATTCATCATCTTAACTTACTCCATCATTGTTGTCTTATCCCCATCCCCTTTCCTCTCTCCTTCCTCCTCCCCTTCCTCCACTTTCTTTAAAATCAGGTTACTTCTTGTTACATTGCTCAGGCTGGCCTGGAACTCTTACGGTTAGCTGATCTTCCTGCCTTGGTCTTCTGATTATTGGGACCATATGCTTGAGCTTTTGTATCTGACTTAGCCATTTATTGATAGCACTGCTGGGGACTGAACCCAGGGCCTCGCATATGTTAGGCAAAACTGCTGTATCACTGGCACCCTGAGCCCCTCTTAAGCATTTTTACGTGTATAGCTCATTAGTACTACATATATTCATTTTGTTGTGCAGCCATCCATCTTCAGAGCTCTTTTAAAAATTTTGCAGAAGCCAGAGAGGTGGTGCACACCTGTAATCCTAGCACTTGGGAGGCTGAGGCAGGAGGATTGCTGTGAGTTTGAGGCCAACCTGGACTATGTAGTGAGTCCCTGTCTCAAAAAAAATTTTTTTTCTTCTCAAAACTGAAACTCTGTACCCACTAAACAGTAACTTCCCATTCCTTCTTCTTCCTAGCCCCTCGTAACCACAATTCTATTTTCTCTCTGGGATTTTGACTTAGTACCCCATATAAATGGAATCATATAGTATTTGTCCTTTTGTGACTTGGTTATTTCTCTTAGCATAATGTCTTTAAGGTTTATCCATGTTGTAGCATTTATGAAGAATTTTGTATATATATATAAACATTTTGCTTATTTACTTATTTGTTGGTGGACAGTTGAGCTGCTTCCATTTAGCTGTTGTGAATAATTCTATTGTGGGCATGGGTATATAAATCTCTTCAGGACTTTACTTTCATTTTTTTTGGTTATATACCCAGAAATGGAATTACTGGAACTTACAGTAATTTTTTTTTTCTTTTTTGTCTTTTTGAGACAGAGTCTCACTATGCAGTTCAGGCTGGCCTTGAACTCACTTTGTAGCCCAGGCTGGTCTCAAACTCACAGTGATCCTCCTGTCTCAGCCTCCTGAGTGGTAGGATTCCAGGCATGTACTGCCATGCCCGGCTCTTTTTTTTAATTTATGAAGAACTGCCATAACATTTTCCATAGTGACTAACCAGTATACATTCCTACCAGTACTGCACAGGGCTTCAGTTTTTCCACACCTTCACCAGCACTTGTTAGGTTCTGTTTTCTTAATATTAGTCACGCTAATGGATATGAGTTGATCATGATATAATATTAATGGTTTATTTTTCTATCATTTGGTTATGAGAAACTCTTAAAAGGCATACAGATACATTTCAGAGATGATAAAATCTTTTTCTGATATTTATGAAGGGCAAGTTAAGTCAGGCCATTTTCTTTATCTGTGTTCCAATATTGATGTTCAGTGAATGATGATAATGTGATTGCAGGTAAATTGGCAGGATGAGGAGCAGTAAATCAAAAGAGGTGCCTTTATCAAATCCAAGGAACTCTCAAAGCAAGGATAGTGTTCAAGGTAAGGTACTGTTCTTTTTAAGTTAATTCTTTATTTAGGTCATATATATTAAATGCTAATCTAACCAGAAAATAAAAACTATACACATGCTTTGATTTAGGAAAAGATTAAATAAAGAATATTAAATTTGAATATACAAAGTATCTTACTTTCAAAGTATCCTATGTTAAACTGCTTTATACAGAAAAATCCTTTTTAAAAATGAACTAGCCCATGTAAAATTAATTTTATGTAGTTTTTCCAGAAATTCTGATTTAATGACAATAAATAGTATAATATTTAAGCTCCTAAGAATAGACCAAGTGCATAGATAACAAAATAATAGTTTCATTGAATTCCTTTTGAATCACAAAAGTAGTGATAACTTTAAAGCATGATATATTTTAAAGGAGTTCTACAAACTGAAGTACATCTGGAAGGAGATTATTGCATTTGTGGGGGACTTGGAAATTAAATCATAGGGAGAAGTATTTGAAAGAAATGAAAATATTCATCCTGGAAAAAAATGACTCCTGGGAAATATGTAGCCTTAAACTTTGAAAGGGTGTTATCTGAAAGACAAAATAGATTTTACCTTTGTTTCTACTGGTAGATTGAAGTCTGGGGTAGTTCTCTTATCTTTTTCACATTGTAATGTCAAATATAAAACAATATAAAATTTTTTATTTGTTTATTTCATTGGAGTAAACTCAGGATACTACTTATTTTTGGACATACCTGCCATATGTATATGTGGAAGTGTCAATCTAGTTTTCCTAAAGAATAATAATATCAGTGCCTATTTAATTCTGTTTGGTAGGAAGCTTAGCTTAGCTTTATATGATGGTAATTACCAAAAAAAGCGTATTTTGGTTCAGTACAGTGAAATATTTGCTGAAGAAGAGTTCTGCCTAATAGAGTGATTCAAAACTTTGAGTGCATTTGTGAGCTTACTAGAATTGTATTTTGAGATCTACTTCAGAGATTCTGATTTAGTAAATATTACTTTTATCCCAGCAGATGTAACCACAACATGGGATGCACTTTCTCAGACCAAGGCTGCTGTAAGTTGTTTTAACTTCCATTTACTTACTTGTTTTGAAATTAGTTTCCTGGTTGGACAGGGTAAAATTTTTCTGTAGCACTTTTTTGAATAGAAAATAAACATTTTGGTAAGAAATGACGTACATTATAGAATGAACATAACTATTAAATAGCAAAAGTATAAAAAGTGACACTACTTTAATTGTCAAGGGCCCTAACACCATGGATATAAAATACTAAAATAAACTTGTGTAATTTATTCACCTTTAATAGATTTGTTCATTTGGTATGTTGAAATGAAGATTTGATAGAATGAGTTTGATAATGATAGGCTTGTGTCTGTGTAGAAGGCTCATTGCCAGGGAGGAAGGGAAAGGAACCAGCTTTCTTGAAGCTTTGAATGGTTAGTAAGTTACCTCTTCTTTTGTGAGGAGGTAACAAACTGTTTTCTTTCATACTACTGAAGAATAATGACTATGGGCAACTTGTTCCCATTTGTGTTCTGCCTAGTCTTATCTGGATTTTAAGAATCTACATTTGACAAGTGATACTTAATCCCTTCAAATGGAGACACTGCTTTTTTATTTGCTTTCCAGGCAAATTGTCTTTTAATATGCCCTTTCGTTTTCTTTTGTATACTACTTGATTTAAAGTAGTTTCTTTACTGTGTTTCTTTACTGTGTGAGTATTTTTATGGTATTTTCAATCCTCTAATTTTTAGACCTTTTTTGAAAATGAATCTAGAAAAATTGTTACTACTTAGATTTAGGCCCGATGCAGGATCAAGTTTTGGCCCTATGAGTAAGCAATGTACATTCTATCCCTTCTATGTATTATACATCTATAATATAGGAATAGTTTTTATTCCTCAATTTGATTTAGTTCTAAGCTAATTCATAACTAAACTTTGTTCTTAGTTGTTTTTTGAAAACCACTGTGTTTTTGAAGAATATGTAAAGGACCCATAATAATCAGTACAGGGAAAAAAGGCTGATACAGAAATACTACTATGTAGTATTATTTCAATTTTTTTAGTTCATTACACTGAAAAAATCTGAAAGATGAATCAAAACTATGTACAGTATTTTATTTTATTTTTTGTAGAGCTAGGGGTTGAACTAGAGTAACACCCATGCTAGTGTTTACTTACTGAGCTACAACTCCAAGCCTTTTAAATTTAAGACAAGGTGTTGCTATACTATTCAGGCTGGCCTCTAACTTCGGAACTTCTGCCTTGGCCTCTTGAGTAGCTGAGATTACAAGCATGTGCCATCCTCCCAGCCAAAGTATTTCTATATAGTAGAGTTTTGATATTTTTAATTTTATTGTATATGTATATATAAATAAAAATATATTTTTAATGTATATTTTGTTTTCAAGTATTCTTCTTAAGCATATAATACTCTACTATTCATGCAGAAATGCTTTTTTAAAACCATTGAGAACACTGATGGTTATACCAAAAGTTGCCTTACATTGCAGAGGGTATGTGAAACGTGACTAAATTCAATCTAGCCTGTGAATCTTGTTTTTGTTGTAAAACTTATTTCACAGACACAAAACTATAAAAAGTTGTGACTCTTTCCATAGTCCTAAATTTAGCCATCTCAATCATTCTTTCCTCATTTTTACATGTAAAATGTAGAAAATATATGACATATATAGTGTCAGATAATTTAATGCTTTTAAGAAACTCAATAGTAAACATATTTCAACATGGTGGATAGAAATCTTTGATAGTCTTCATAATGTTTTTCATTGTCTTTTGTTCACATTTGAGCAGCATTATGTCTAAAGTGTAATGATAGCTGACATAAACAGTGATAAAGCTAAGAAGAAACCATTTCTGAGTTTTTCTACTTTGGGGGAAGATATTGGGTAATATAATATTAAATAACCACATAAACCAGTGGTAGCTGGATTATTTACAGAATTAACCTATATGTATGGTATTTAAATTTTAGCTGAGACACATCGAAAACAAATTAGAAGTAGCCCCTTCAAGTACAGCTGTGTTTGATTCTGTCATGGATGTCAAGAAGTCTTCTGCAAGTGCTATCCGAAAGATAAGTAGAAAAGGTATGTATAAAGTTCTTTTAGAGATAAAAATAGAATTTTTTTTTTTTTTTTTGTGATGCTGGGGATCAAACCTAGGGCCTTTGCATTGCAAGGCAAGAACCCTACCACTGTGCCACATCCCTGTCCCCCCAGCATATAAATTTTAGATGTTAGATTTTTTTTTTGTTTCTTTTTTATTAGCATATGTTTGTGATTCATAATATTGTAATTACATTCATCTTGGGGAATTGGTACCTATACATACTGTATCTTAATAATTTTAATAGTCCCAGAATTTAATTTTCTTCCTTTGGTACTGAGTAGTAGTTATGAAGCAGTCCCATATTCAGTGACTGTAGATGGTATTTTTACTATCTTTTGATCAGGAATGTTAGCACCATTCCATTCCTTTTGACAATGAGTTTTCATTTCTTTGTAATGAGAATTTCATTTTGAGTATTTAAGATGTTCTGTGTCAGTTGTTTTTTTAAGCTTACAGGTATATTACTTTTAAAATAAAATTTAGTCAATTTAATAAAGTATATTTTTTGGAGGAATTCAACTTAGTGGAAGACCTAGAGATATAGCTCAGCGGCAGAACACTTGCCTAACATGCACAAGGTAGTGGGTTTACTTCGAAGTACTGCAAAAAAAAAAAAAAAGATGGAATATCATTCATACCAGTCATGTCATAAATTGACACAATGTGTTTTCTTTGGTTACCTTGGTAACCACATACCTACAGGTATGTGAATGTTTTCTGTCTCCTATAAGGATATGTAAAGGGTTATGTAAAATATCCAACTAGAGATGCTACTAGTAACACGTCAGTTATTTTTTAGATAGTAACCAAATTTAGAGGCAGTCATAGTTTATATGATACGGACTTACAGATTTTCTTTTTCTTCAGATGGTAGATACCTGGATGATTCTTGGGTTAATGCGTCAACCTCCAAATCTAAATCACGAAAAGAGAAATCTCGTAGTCCTCTCAGAGCTACCACCCTGGAAAGTAATGTGAAGAAAAATAATCGTGTGGAATTTCGTGATCCTCTGGTTTCTTACAGGTTAGTTAGTGTTGGGGAATAAAAAGCAGCTAGGGTTGGTCTGTAATACTTACAGCAGGATTATAATATTTTTTTGAGGTTTTTTTTTTATAATATTCTGGTCATGAGGTACTGTTATAATACTTTACTATTGCTACTGTTTTCATTCTCCACAAAAGATAATACAAAAATCTTTACTGTTTCTTCTGTTGTTACTGTTGTTTTTGCAGTGTTGTGGATTGAACCCAAGGCCCAAGGCTGTAACACTGAACCACATCCCCAGCCCTTTATCTTTTTTGAGGGGGAAGAAATAGTAATATTTTTCCTAAGCCCCCCTCATGCTAATAAAATTTCTTAGAAACAGACTATTCAGTTCCTGGAAGCATGGCTTTTTTTGTTTGTTTTATAGGTACCACTACCTATACCTAGCTCTTAGGTTTTTTTCTATTTTGTTTTTATGTGATGCAGAGAATTGAACCCAGGGCCTCTCCCATGTTAAGCATATGTATAGTTTAGTTTTTGTCTTCTTTTTGAAAGTAGTAATCAGTCACTCACATTTTTTTTCTTATTGTGAATGTGAATTAGCTTGTTATTTTGTTGCTAATGGCTTTTTTCTGCAATTCACATGTTCAAGATTGTTGTATAAACTTAAAGGTATAGACAATACAAAGTGCTTTGTACTTTTATGAACATATTTAGGCTATTTAATAAAATTGTAGAATTTTTAATTTGAGCAGTAGTTTATTAGTGATTTATATGCATTCATGCTCTCATTATGGCTAATATGTGGTAATCAGTAACAAAATACTGTACTTTTTTTTTCATTTATAACCATTTCATGTATTTTAGAGATAGGGTTTTTGTTTATTTATTTATTTTTTTTGGTACTGGGAATGGAACTCACAACCTCATGCCTGCCAGGCAAGCACTGTGCTACTGAGCTCTCCAGCTCTCATGTATTTTAAAGTATCAATAAATCAAAGAATTTCAAGATAGTACTTGGTAGTGCTAAGTAAATGTTTGTACTTCTTTTTTTTTTTTGTCTTTTGAGACAGGGTCTTGCTATGCAGTTCATGTTTTTCTTTTCTTTCTTTCTTTCTTTCTTTTTTTTTTTTTCTTTTTGGTACTGGGAATTGAACTCAAAACCTTGTGCTTGCCAGGGAGGCACTTGTGCCCCTGAGCTATAACCCCAGCCCATTGCTATGCAGTTCAGGATGGCCTTGAGCTCACTTTGTAGCCTAGGCTGGTCTCAAACTCATAAAGATCCTTGTGCCTCAGCCTCCTGAGTGTTGGGGTTACAGGTGTGCGCTACTGATACAGGAAAATAAAAACTCCCAACCTGAATGATATCTGGGACGAGTTCATGTTCTCTAAAATCAAAGAATGAATATTAGGAACCATGGAGGTTAAGAGCAGAATATATTTATTGAGGGAAAGAAAGCTTCTGTCCAAGAGAGGGACAGAAGGGGGGCCCGAGTGGGGTTGCCCAGGACTCTGTCTTTTCTAGGGAATTTATAGAGCAAAACCAGGATGTGAGGTAGGTCCAAGATAGGGGGGAAAATGGACAAAACTATGGTCAGCCAGTAAGAATTGTTCAGGTAAAATTGGTTAAATCGGGATCAAATGGGGAAGCGAGTCACAAGTGGGTATGAATACAGAACAGGGGCTTTTCCTGTAAGGAGTTGGGTCAGTGGCTCTTCAAGGTGATTGCTACCTGTTTAGAATATCAATCCTTGATGTCCATCCCTTAATCTTTTGTTTTGAGGTCTGGCCCACAGCAAATACTGTCTTATCTTTCTTGTTGGCTCCTTCGAGTGCCTGGCCCTGTCTGACTGCCTATAATATTTCTATCTAATTCAGCTGCCTATAACACTACCATGCCTAGCTATTTGTACTCTTAAATTTGAGATAAAGAACTTGAGTTCAGTTTTTAATGTTAATTTGATTTGATTGATGGATTGACTGACTGATTGATTGATTGATTAAGACAGGGTCTCACTATGTAGTCCAGGCTGACCTTGAACAACTCATGGCAGAACTCCTGCCTCAGCTTCCCTAGTGTTGGGATTACAGGCATGCTCCACCACACCTGGCTTCATTTAACAATTTAAAAATTTATGTGAATGTATTCAGTTGAAATTTGAAAATATGCATATAAATGTATGTAGAGTCATCAGGGCAAAAGATACAGATTCAGAAGTTGCTGTTAGTATTGAAGCAATAAAAATAGAAGGCATGCACTGCCATGCCTGGCTACACACGTAATTTAATCATTTTTAGTAGTTACACACACACACAAATATTTTACATTTTTGAGTGTTTTTATCCAGTATGTAACTTAAATTTCATCAACTGTCAGTTTGTTCTAGCCACATATCATTTTCTCAGTAGCCACATGTGGCTAATGACTGTTGTTTCTGACACTATAGTCCCAGATCGTTATTTCAGTTTTATTTGTTGGATATTTTTTCACAATTTGTAAGGTTCTTCACTGCTGAGTTTTGTCTTTATTTACCTCTCTTTTAATAAACTACTGTCCTAAAATAGAGCTTATTAAAATGATATGGAAAATAAAAATAATCTCTGATGGAGACTTTGCTAATGTTTTTTATGAACAGAGAATGTGGACTTGGCATTATGTTTCTTGGTATTCCCCAGTCCTTTTTGCTTCCTGCTGAGTTTTAGATACGATTTAGATTTTTTTTTTTTCCTTTTTTTTCCGGTATTAGGAATCAAACTCACGACCTCGCGCTTGCCAGGCAGGTGCTGTGCTGCTGAGCTAAATCCGCAGCCCCCTTGATATGCTTTACATAGCTCAAAGCTGCTAACAAGTGCTCTGTGATTAAGAGTGGTTTAACTTTACTAATCACATTTATTAGGAAGAAAATTTTTACCATACGTCCACTTTATTTCTGTTGTTAATCTATTTGTCAATTTGGTATGTTATTTAGAAACTACGCACATGAAATGCCAACATGTGAGAATGTTTTTTCCTAGTACTTAAGATATCTTAAATAAATGACACATTTTGGTGACAAAGAGCAAATGAATATCCAAATTCTGATTATAATCCTTTTTTCTGGTGTCTTAAGAAAATCTATCCATAAATTTTGCCATATTTCTTTTTTTTTTTCTTCTAATACCAGGAATCGAACTCACAACCTTGCGCTTGCCAGGCAGGCACTGTGCCGCTGAGCTAAATCCCCAGCCCCCTTGTTTTTTTTTTTTTGTTTTGTTTGTTTTTGATATTTCTTATTTTATAATATGCAGACTGTTATTTTGATTATTTGCTTCTTAACTGGATAGAGGGAACATTGGACATGGAATCTTAATGTTAGTAATGATTATTTTGTTGTTGATGTTTGTAGTACAGGGAATTGAACCCGGGGCTTTACATGTGGTAGGCAAGTGTTGTACCACTGAGCTATATCCCCAACCCTTTCAAAATTTTTTGAGATGAGTATCTTACAGAGTGCCAGCTCTGGCCTCAAACTTGTGATCTTCCTGTGTTAGCATCCTAAATAGCTGAGATAATAGGTGTGCTTTCACACCTGTCTAGTTTTGCTACTCTTGTAACGTTTTTAAAATTTAATTGTACAGAAGTTATTTATAGGTATTAAATATGTGCATAATTGTTATGTTTTGATATATTTATCGTGGAATTGCTAAGCTGTTTAACATATACGTAACCTCATATATTTATCTTTTTGTTGTGAGAACACTTAAAATCTATTCTTTTAGCAATTTTCAAGTCTCTGGTTTTTTTTTTTTTACTATTATCACAAAGTTTGTTATTTTTTATTATAGGGAAATTCGTAGTGCACCTTCCAACTTAAGTCCTAGCCATCTGGAGTCAAAGCATGTGTATTATGTAGATGTTAATGAAGAAAAAGCTGAGAGTGGAAACCGGATGATAAGCAATCGAGAACAACAGGATACACGTTGCTGTGATTTTGAGAGCTCCCAGTCATCTGTAATCAATGATACAGTTGTCAGGTTTTTAAATGATCGACCAGCAATTGATGCATTGCACAACTCTGAATGTTTGATTAAGACGGGAATTCCTATGAGAATGGAGGGAGAAATGCCTAATAGAGCAAAAGGAAATGAGAACAATTCAAAGCCTGCTGTGAATAACATGGGCCATCCTGTTGATCCTAAAGTGTTACAGCTAACTGATTCTTCTCCATCCTCCACTAGTACTTCTAATTCCCAAAGATTAGATATTTTAAAGCGGCGGCAGCATGATGTCAAATTGGAAAAACTTAAAGAGCGGATTAGAAAACAGTGGGAACACTCAGAAGAAATAAATGGTCGGGGCCAGAATCTGGGTCATATTGACCATCCAGTAATGGTTGTTAATGTTGATAGCTCAGTGACAGCAAAAGTCAGGAAAGTGGCAACAGCACCACCTGCTCCAGCATATAGAGGTTTGTAATCAGTTTTTGTACCTTTTTCTTTCTGTCGTCTTGTTCCCCTTTTCCCTTATTTGAATAGATGGTCATTTTCAGACCAGAATATGATTCTCAAATTAGCTGCTTAAGAAATCATTTTAGGATACAAATTAAAAATGCAGATTTCAACCAGGCATGGTGGCACACATCTATAATCATAGCACTCAGGAAGTAGAGACAGGAGGACTCCACTTAACTCCACTTAAGTGGTGAGTTTGAGGCCAGCCTAGGCTGCAAAGTGAGTAGAAGGCCACGCTGAGATATATAGCCAGACCCTTTCTTTAAAAACAAGCAAAAGAGATTTCTAGATCATTCACTGGAATTTCTGGGAATGGGGTCTAGAAATAGAATTTTTAACAAGTCCTTTAGGAGATTAGTACAGATTGAGAGGATTGAGATGTGTTATGTAGTTTAGGCTGTCCTTAAAGTCAGTATGTAGCCCAGGTTAGCCTCAATCTTGTGACAGTCCTCTTGCCTTAGCCTCCCAAGTATAAGGATTACAGGCATGTGCCACTATGCCTGGCTTTTGAACTGAAAATACTGCTCTTAATTCTGCCAGTGTTTATTGATTATTAGAAATTCTTTCAAAAGTAATTTAAGAGATAAATGAGTCATTTTCCAGTGAATATGTGGATATACAGTATTTTTGCACTAACATTGATCCAGTTGCCATTTTAAGCTGTGAGTTTTAATAAAAATGATTTCTTTCCCATATTTAAGAAAAAATATTAAAGTCAGATTTATGCAAACCTTGATAGATTTTCATTGGGAAAATGTTTTTCAAAGCTAGTTTTTTTTTTTTTTTTGCGTACTGAAGTTTTTTGTATGTGATGGTTTTGTAGGGATTCTGTTTTTCAATTTTTGTGTTTATATTCCTTATTTTCACAGGGCCATCTATGTAAAGGTTTTAATGAAGAGTTGATTTCTTGATTAGTTATGTTAGACTTTTGTCATTAAAACTTTATTGTAGCCTTTCATGGGTGATTTTCCAAGTTCAGAATAAAATAATATAAAATTGCTTTCTTTTTATTTTAAGACTTTAAAAAGTTTTTGCCATGGCCCATTTTGTTTATAAGTCTGATTTTTTTTTCTGATAAGTTCTGCAGTTTTTGTGGCCCTAAGGTGTCTGTAATTTATTCTCTGGTACAAATCTCATTATGTATAATTTTGGCAACCATGAGTTTTGTATTGCTTACTATGTTTTGGTAGTGATACGCATTGGAAATTTTATTTTAGCTAATCTGTGATAAACATATAACCAAATTCATTAGAATACTAAAGAGTTGCTCTGTTGTCTGTGATTGGTCTAATGTATTATTGATTAAAAGTTTTATATGTATCATATGAAATAGTTCTTAGTGTATCCACATTATCGGCAGAGCAAATAGCATACAGTGAGGTCAGAATGTTCTTGTTGGTTCTGAAATAGTGATTATCTCAGATCTTTGCTATACTCATTAAGTATAGATTACATATTTAATGGTTTTTTAATTTTATAAACCAAAGTCATGAAATACCAAAGTTTATTCCACCAGTGCAGTTAAGATGGATGATTCTTTTTTAGTTTTAATTTACTTATTTTAAAATTTTTTGCTAGTACATGTTTGCAGGACATAATGATTATAGTCATGGGGAGTTGGTACAGGTATGTAACACATCTTAATTCTTTTTTCATCCCCTTCCCCTGTTCCATCTCTTGGTCCCCTTTCCTTTAACAAAAGATCTATCTCCCTGTTTCCTATTATCTTTTAAAATTTTTATAATTTTTATTAGTATGTGTTTAGAGTATATAATGGTTACAGTCACCATGGGGTGTTGGTATATTTATGTAATGCATCATAATTTTTTTTCTCTATCCCCTTCTATTTGCCTTCCTTCATCTCTTAGTAGTCTTCTCTATTTCAAAAGATCTATCTATCTGATTCCTGTTAGCTTTTATTTTACTGTTTATATTTTGGGTTTCTCATATAAGAGAAATCTTAAACTATGTAACCATGATTAACAGTAACATTTCCAAAGGAGCATCCATTTTCTTGCAGAAGACTCAAATTTATCCTTTATGGCAGAGTAGTACTCCATTGTGTATAAATACCACATTTTCTTTAGGCATTCATCTGTTGATGTGCGTATGTGCCACTTCCAAGATTTAGCTATTGTGAATCGTACTGCTATAAACATGGGTATGTATGTATCACTGTAATATAATGTCTTTAACTCTTTTGGGAGGATAGCTAGAAGGGGAATAGCTGGATTAAATGGAATTTCTGATGTTAGTTTTGTGAGGAATCTCCATACTGATTTCCATAGTGGTGTACTAGTTTACATTCCCACCAACAATGTAGAATAGTTCCTCTCTCCCACTCTGCAGCCTTGCCAGCATTTGTATTATTTGATTTTTGATGATAAACATTCTTCTGAAGTAAGATGGAATCTTAGTATTGTTTTAATTTGGGTTTCTCAGAGATACTGAACATTTTTCATGTATTTATTGGCCATTTGTACTTCTTCTGAAGTGTCTGTTCATTTCAGTTACCTGTTTTTTGATTAGGTCTGTCTGTCTGTCTGTCTTTCTTTCTTTCTTTTTGATTGGGTCTTTAAATTGGGGTGGGGAGATCTAGTTTTTTTTTTTTTTTTTTAGTTCTTTATATATCCTGGATATTAGTTCTCTGTCCAAGGAGGAGTTGGCAGTTTTTCCCCCCATTCAGCAGGTTATCTTTTTACTCTGTTGCTTGTATCCTTTGCTGTAAAGAAGCTTTTTAATTTGATACAATTCCATTTGTTGGTTCTTAATGTTATTTCTTGTGCAGTTTGTGTCCTGTTCAGAAAGTCTTTGCCTATGCCTATGACATCAAGAGTTTTACATATATTATCTTGCAGCAGATCGTTCCTGTTTTAATATTTAGATCTTGAACTGTTTTAATTTTAGTTTTGTACATGGTAGGAGAAATGGGTCTAGTTTCAGTCTTCAACATGTGGTTAGCCAGTTTTCCCAGCACCATTTGTTAAAGAGGCTTTCTTCTAGCATGTTTTTTGGACCCTTTGCCAAAAATTAGGTAGATAAATATACCTTGGATTGTTATTACATCTTCTGTTCTCTTCCACTGATCCATATATTTGTTGCATGTGTCAGTGCTATGCTGTATTTATCATGGTAGGTTTCTAATGTAACTTGAAATATGGGATTGTGATGCCTCCTGCTTTGCTCTTGTTGCCCAGGGTTGCTTTTGCTATTTTGGATCTGTTCTGGTTCCATGTGAACTTTAGGTTGTTTTCTCTAGTTCTGTGAGCAGTACTGTTGGTATTTTTATTGAGATTACATTAAATCTATGTATCTATGTAGTTTTGGGAGTATGGCCATTTTGACAGTTGTTTTGCATATCTACGAACAGGGACTATCTTTCCATTTTCTGATGTCTTCTTTGGTCTTTTCAGTTTGCATTATAGAGGTCTTTTACTTCCTTGATTAGGTTAATTCCTAAAAGCTTCGTTTTTCTTGATGCTATTGTGAATGGTATTATTTTCCCAGTTTCTTTCGTGTGGAGTTCATTATTGGTGTGCAGGCATGCTGTTGATTTTTGTGTGCTAATTTTATCTTGCTCTATTGGTAAATTTAATCATTAATTCTTGGTGTCTTTTGGTGGAATTTTTGATTATTCTATGGAGAGAGTCATATCATCCGTAAATGATAATTTGACTTTTTTGTTTCCCATATGTATCTCTTTTATTTCTTTCTTTTATCTAATTACTCTGGCTAATATTTCAGGTTCTATATTGAACAGGACTGGTGATAGTAGACATCCGTGTCTCGTTCCTGCTTTTAGAGGGAAAGCTTTCAACTTTTCTTGATTTAATATGATATTGGTCCCAGCACTTGGGAGGCTGCAGCAGGAGGATCATTGCAAGTTTGAGGCCAGCCTGGGCTACAAAGTGAGCTCAAGGCCAGCCTGCACTGCATAGCAAGATCCTGTCTCAAAAAAACCCAAAAAAAAATGATGTTGGTAGTTGGTTTGTCATAAGTGATTTAGATCAGATTAAGATAAGGCCTTTCTGTATCTATTTTCCTCAGGGTTTTTATCATGAATGGTTGGATATTACATTTTGTTATAGGATTTTTCATGTTTGTTTAGATGACGCTGTGATTTTTGTCCTTGCTTCTGTTTATAGCACATAAACATTTATTAATTTTCATATGTTGAACCATCCTTGCATCCCTCAGGTGAAATCCTGCTTGGTCATGATGTATAAAGATGAAATTCATGTTTTATGTAATAATGTACCTGAAAGTTAGACCAGTTTGTGGCTAGGTTTTCCATATTCCTTTTTTTTTTTTGGTCACAGGGTTGCACTATGCAGTTCAACCTGGCCTTTTAAATTCACTGTGTAGCCCAGGTTGGCCTTGAACTCTTGCCACAGAGTGATCCTCTTGCCACAGCCTCCTGAGTGCTGGGATTACAGATGTGCACCACCACACCAGGCTCCATATTCCTTTTTATTTATTTATTTTTTTAACAGGCTAGTTTCCAAACTAAAATATTCTATAAATATAATTTTTAGGGGTTTATAAAACCTAACAAACATTTAAGAAATCATTATGGAGAATGTTTTCCAGTATGCCAATTGATGGATTTTTTTTTTTCCAACAATAAATTCTTGTGCTGTCTTTTTGGCAATATAAATGAGAAGCACTTTAAAACACTATATTCTAGGCTGGGCATAGTGGTGCACACTTGTGATCCTAACACTAGGGAGGCTGAGGCAGGATGATCACTGCAAGTTTGAGGCCAGCTTAGGATACATAGTGAGCTCAAGGCCATTCTGAACTATGTAGCGAGACCCGGTCACAAAAAATCAAGAGAAAAAACAAAACCAACTAAAAAAGCACTGTCTTCCATAGTGATGTTTATATTTATTTTACTACATAATAAATTTACTTGGTTCATAATTCAAAAGATGAAAAAGCATGTATAGTGCCTTGA